TAACTTGTGTTTCAGTAAAGTTTTGTATATAAATTAAGTTTGATTTTTTCAATTGTTTCAAACTATTTCTGCAGTTTGAATTTGGCATTGTGGTGTTGCTTTTGTCTCCTGTCATATGTTCAATACTGGCGTTCCTTCGGTCTCTTCAACTGGAAGAGCTAGCCATGACTTCGAAGCCACGCAACGTATTTTTCCTTTCGATCCCTCCTCATCATGCTTTTATAAAATTTTCTACATTTTGTGTTGTCTCTTTCTTATTTTTTTGGCTTCCTATTTGTGTATTTATGTGACAACCAAAGTTGGTAAACCATTGTTCATTCTATTTACATGTCCAGAACATTTAATTCAAAATCGTTATTAAGATGGATGCTATGATATCCCAAATGGCATTGTGTAATAGTTTACTTTTTCATGAATACTTAGCTTTTTCCATTAGGATTCATGCCTACTGCTTCACTTCAAGTCTATTGTCTCTCCGTACCTCAAGTGACAAATGAATTTATCTTATGCTTATATCTTCAATAATCTTAAATTCTTAACATTTATGCAGTATGGATTTATAGCTTGGATGCTAAGCATTTGTGTTGGCTCGCTTCTTTTGTTCCTAAGGTAACACTGACATGTCTTTTCAGGTCTGCATTTTACTCCCTATGTTTCAACGGCATGGATCTTTTAACATGAGTTTCAATGTCATATTTTGGCATTAGTTCAATTGAGGCAATTTGGGTGCACTTCAATAAAAACATTTGATGGTTCCAACCCCGACACTCCGTCTGGTCTGGCCCTTATGCACCCCTGCAAATTGCACTCCTAAATTATGTTGACTTTGTGTTCATTTTTGACTCCAAAGCAAAAACTTAGGGGTGCAATTAGGAGGAGTGCATTAGGGCTGGGCCAAACCGGGGGGGGGGGGGTGTTTCCAGGGGCTAGGGACCATCAACTTTTTGATAGGAACACTGTAGGTACTCAATGCCAGAATATGACATCCAATTTAAATGTCAAAAAACTGCGGTGCTGTTTCATATGGCT